GTCTGATTCAAGCTTTGATAACACCCTTGACCATCACAATCCTTCTAGTTGTTGTTATTTCTTTATGGAAAACCAAGATCCAGAAGGTTCATAACTGACAAAAGCTGTTTCTTAGTTTGTTTAATGTCTTGCCCTCTGAATATTGAAGTGGCGTTATAACAATATTCTTTTTAAAGTGCAAACTTTTCCCCATGAGCTGAAAGAATCTACGATTCTAGCTCAAATGCTCCTTTGTTATCCTTTCTATAGCAATGTGCATCCTACCCTCATAACTTTCCTTGCAATGAGTTTAAATTCTTCTATGATGAGTTTCTTCGGAAGTGTTGCATTATTTCCTTCAGTTTAATAATTTTAATATCCTAGTATTTCATTTGCAAAGCAGTTTTCTAATTTAGTTTTAATATTCTACTACTTGTACTTACAGTGTCTTGCAGTTTGAAGCATTTTATTTCTATTAATATTATTAAATATACTATTTAATGGTAAATACTCTATAAATCTTATTTTGATATATCTGTATATAAATTTGAGCTTTGTAAAAATTACAAATATATAAAATGCTAGTTAATGACTATAATAAATGCATTACTATTCCATAATAATTCTTGAAATGTATTCAACTCCTATACTTTTGTTCTGAATAAAAACTATAGTAAGATAGGGGGCAAAACTGTGAGTAATAGCTTTTCTATAACGGTCAACATTTTAAAAATATTGTAGTCCACATTTTTAAAATATTACAGTTTATATCATGCATAGACTGCATTTCTTGTTCTAAGATGTGTGCCAGTTGTGTGATTGGATTCAGGAAAGAATACTCCCATATATCATGTGCATACTATTCTTTTTGTAGAAAGATTGCTGGGAGATATAAAGAAACCCTGATAGTTTTACTAGAAAAAAGAAGAAAGTGGCCAGTGAATAACTTTTACAGGCCTTCAAAAACTGTATAAAGACATGAATATTTCTTGGAAGTTGCATGGTAACTGCAGGCAGTATGACTATAGAAAACTGTGAGTTGACAATTTATGTATTAGAAGCATTGATGCTTTAACATAATCTGCTCTTATCATGTGTTACTTGGATTATTACAGTCTAATACAGAGGGGAAATATATGTCCCTCCCGATATTTTTCGATGACACATTCCATAAACTCTGTGTTTTAGTTATACTAGCTAGATTTGACAGGAATTAAGTTCAACAATATCTGCAGGGCTGTGATTATCTTCCTCTGTTCTTATAGATGCCTTTGATCACCAAGGAATCTACTTTTCTCAGGTATGTGGATAATTCTATAGAGCATACACTGACATTCCAAGATTATCCTCAAGTTTTACTCTAATTCAAATAAAACTGAAATTCTGGTTGAATATTTTTCTGATGAACCATACAAGCAAGGGTATAACATACAGGCCTTTCTTGGCATAGAAAGATGAATGGATTGTGTGACTTTTGTACATTTTAAAATCTTAATCTAAACTTTCATGTTCTAAACAACAGATATAAAAATATTCTGTAACAGTAACTGTAAAACAATAGTACAAACCTTTATTCATTGCTTTTTAAAAAATAGCAGCAAAGATTTTGAGCCCCAAGCATTTTGTTTCTGATGAATGCCAACCAGTGCAAATGAATGATTATCCTGTCAATCTGGTGCAAAATGTCTGATATTTGTTGCTTAACTTCAGAATGAAAAATAGGACCTGTCTTTAAGAAGGTTTCACCTATCCTCCAGAAATGATGACTAGTATTACAGTAGTTGAAGTTCAACATATGAAGGGGATCAACATAATGGAGAAGGCTGATTTAGACAATCATGTGTTCTAAATGTGAGAAAAAGTTATAGAATTCTTTGTTGAATTACTTCTGCCATATCCTCATCTAACCTAGCTTTCTACTTCCAGAAAGTAGTACTAGGCACATTTATAAGATCACTGCAAATAAAGACCAGTACACTCCATAAACAAATTGATCAAGGGCCAGGATGGCGAATACTGAAAAACTCTGACATCTGTAGTTCAGCAACTGGATGATCACCAATGTTTTACGGTGAGTTAGAAATGGGGGAAGAACATATATAATGGATTATGTTTTTCATAGCATTCAAAAGGTTTATAATTTAAGGACATTGATGCATTAAATATAGCTATCGTGTAGAAGTAATGACATTTGTATTTTGCCTTTTTAAAAATATAATACAATAATACAATAGCAGAGTTGGAAGGGACCTTTAGATAATTAGATAAATAGATAGATAGATAGATAGATAGATAGATAGATAGATAGATAGATAGATAGATAGATAGATATACACACACACATATACAATACAATACAATACAAAAGCAGAGTTGTAAGGTACCTTGGAGGTCTTCTAGTACAACCTCCTGCCTAGGCAGGAAACCCTATACCGTTTCAGACAGATGGCTATCCAACATCTTCTTAAAAACTTCCAGTGTTGGGGCATTATTTGCTATCCATCTTGCTGCAGGGACTCTTTTATATGCATGCTGCAACCTTTGAACTAATCTTGATTCTTACCAGTGTACATCCATTGGTTAGCCTTTTCTTCAGAAATTAATAGGAACTTACATAGGGAGTTTCAGTTCATGTTTCCTACCCTTAGAAAGCTGTGAAGTTGGATGTATTCAGGAGAGAAGCTAATATCGGTAAGTGAGTTTCCATAAGTGAGGATGTATCAGCAACTGAATTCTAGTCTGCCTATAAAATAATGTTCACTTTCTTCTGGAATAGGGACATTTCAAAAATAGTTCAATTGTTTCCTGAAAATAAATCTTTTGGAGCAGGAATCAATTCAAAGTGTTCTGGAGTCAAACTATAATTGGAAACTGGAAAATAATTTCTGTTCCAAAACATAATCTGACTGGCTAAAAGTTGAATCAACCTTCCATTCTTCCAAGGTTGGTAAAATGAGGATCCAGATTTCAGGGTGCAATATGCTAACTCTGTAAACTGCTTAGAAAGTGTTGTTAATCACTATGAAGTGGCATATAGGTCTAAGTGCTATTGCTATTGCCAGATTAGTGCATAATTGAGAAAAAAATGATTTTGAATATCCCTACTTATAACTTCATTAAACAAACCGGATATATTTTATTTCATTTCCTGAATTTTATCTTTTCTTCACATATACTGTATTTTTCGGAGTATAAGATGCACCTTTTTCCCTCAAAAAGAGGCTAAAAATCTGGGTGTGTCTTGTACACTGAATACAGAATCTTTTGCCTCCTGAAACCCCATTCCCTTTACCAAAATGGCCGTGCATAGCCTTTAGGAGACTTTCAGAGCGCTCTTGGGGACTGGGGAGGGCAGAAATGAGCTAAAAAGGGGGGCATTTTTTGCTCAATTTTGCTCCCCCCAGCCCCTAGGAGCACTCTATAAGTCTCCTAAAGGCTATGCATGTGCCTTTTTTTTTGGCAAAAATGGGCGCAGTTTTGTGACAAATGGGCCTTTTTTATTCGTTTTTGGGGGGCATCTCCTGAGGAGGAGCACTCTACAAGCCTCCTAAAGGCTATTCATGCCCTTAAAAAAACAAAAACAAACCAGGCCTGTTTTCACGAAAAGCAGGCCATTTTTGGGACGTCTGCAGAGTGCAATAACTTTTCTTAAAATTTGCCTCTTCAAAATCTTGGTGCGTCTTATACTCCGAAAAATATGGCATTTTATGTCATAATTGTATTACAGTATATAATTATGAAACATGTTGTCAGGGTTCCAACTGATACTCTAATTAAATCATGAGCCTTGAACCAAGCTTCAAAGAAATCCAGTTATTTATTAGGAACTTCATCCGGGCACATTCCCGCTCTGACCCCACATAATTTATGGTCCCAATCATTACCCTGTTTTCCCCCTACCCCTAGCGTGTGTCATCAGCCACATTTGCCAGTGGGGCAATTTGATGGGTTGTAGAGGTCACTGCCCTCCGGGCTGCTATAAGTAACTCTGGGATAAAGCCTTGAGAGAGATAAGTCTGGAATGTGCATCTGTCTTTTGCTGCCATGTGGTTTCATCAGTTTCCCATCCTCCCCTTTCCTATGGCAACTCAAAAGCAGGTCAGGGATGCTTTGCGAGTTGGAATTCAGCTCCTCTCACTTCCTGAAGGGGACTTGTATGCACCTGGTTTCCCTATATCTAAAGACAGTCTGTCAATTGAGTAGTCTCTAAATGTCCATTTTTCTAAATGCAAAGATGGATGTCCTTAATATTTAACATTCTATTATCTTGATATTTTATATTGAATAATAAATGAACAATAAAATTACCATATATATCTATTTATATTGCTTGGACAGTTATCAGGGGAGTATTGTCATAACCTTGAAAAAGGAACGAAAGAGCAATTTAATAAACATCAACTGAGCCCTGAATAAGAAAAAGGGCTCAGAAAGATGCTTAAGATAAACTCCCAGAATTGTTTTTGGTCTAAGAAGAAGCAGGGGCAATGCTGTCAGACTTTTCAGATTCTGTTAATATATCCTACAACAATAAAACAGAATTCTAGTCATCTTTTCCATGTATGTTTTTAACTTAACCTGCCATAATTTAAGAGACTGATTGTTACAACGCCCACAACTAAATAAAACATAGATGTAGCAGAAAACATTTTTTAAACATGGGAAAAGGGAAAACCAAGATCAGTAGTGTACCACATTCATTTTGCCATAAATTATTGATACAAATAAAAATAGAGAAATAAAACATTACATGTATTGAGGTATAGATAATTTAGTTCTCAATATTAAGATAAGCATTTTGAGAATATATTAGATGTTCCTTTATTAAAAACATGAAAAACAACTGGCTCTTATCACTTTTTGTCAATAAAGGTTTATCTTGTTTTGAAAACATGGTCAATATCCTTGATTCTTTAACAAAGATGATTTCCACACAGAATTAAATTACTTCCTAGTTAGGTACCATTTTGATAACTAGAAGAAATTCTCTCATACAAATATGCCACGGTGTGTAGACATACCTGAATAAAGATATATTCATCTTGGACAACAAGTGAACTTGTATCAATGGAGTCCAAAAAAGGTCCATTCCTGGTGGTCTCTGAACATTCTTGAATCCTGCAAGTTATATAATGGGCATCTGTATGAAAAAGATAACCTTGTATGAAAAAACATTGACCGACAATTTGTTATGGAAATAAAGCAAATATTATATATTTTGCCATGGCCAAGTTCATACTCCTTATTTTTTCATGTTGACCATGCCATTCTATCGCCTATTTCTGAAATCACTGTTTTCTTTCTTCCATTTTTAAGCTCCCAATTAGGTATTGCCTGAGCAATGCATCCATATCATTTTTTTTTTAAATCAGTTTTAGGTGTAGGTGAAAAGTAAATTCCCTGCTCTTTTTTTAATTAAAAAGTCTTACTGAAATTTTGCTGGATAAGGCCTGGGAATAGAAGTAGGATTAATTTGCTTTAAAGGTAAATGAGGTGGTGAGAGATTCTTTTCTCCTCTTCACTGAACAGTGAGACATTTTGGCACGCATAAGCATTTATTTAAGTATTTTTACCTTGCAAGAACTATAAAGTGCTCCAAAGCAGTCTAAGAAACTCCAGAAGGTAATGCTTTTTCTGATGCCACTTTAAGCAAATCAAACTACTTTTCTATGTCCACTGCATTCATCTGTTAAAGCCTGTGACTTATGATAGGTTAACAGGACTTTGCATCACAATATTGGGTGTATTTCATTTCAATTCCTATTACAAATCATTCAGCATTTTGTTTTATCCTCAAAAGTACAATGCAATGTTACAATGCAATTAATGTTTTTTCATACATTTCATTTATGCTGAATATCCAAGCTTCTTATCCACAAAAGCAAAAATTGTATCTATATAGTCTTGCACTATTCATTGCTTAAGTTCAGAGACTTCGTGGCACGACATAACCGCGAAAGTCAAAAGCGCGCCGACAACACCGTGGCGCTAAAACCGCTATGTCAAAAGCGCCCGACAACAGCGCGCCGACAACACCGTGGCGCTAAAACCGCTATGTCAAAAGCGCCC